GACGCTCACCCTCCTCTCAAGATGGTGGTGGCCACCATCTCCATCAGAAGCGACTTCCTCCTTCCATCGACAACATCTCTCCACCACCGCCACCGAAAGCATCAGACGCGCTGCCCCTCCCTCTTTACCTAACAAACGCCATTTTTTTCACGCTTTTCTTCTCCGTAGCCTACTACCTCCTCTACCGTTGGCGTGACAAGATCCGTAACTCTACGCCACTCCATGTCGTTACTTTCCCCGAAATCGCCGCCATTATTTCCCTAACGGCTTCCTTTATTTACCTTTTAGGTTTTTTTGGAATCGATTTCGTTCAATCATTCATCACGCGCTCTTCGCATGACGCGTGGGAGTTAGAAGGTTCCGATAATCCTAATTTCCTCATCAACAAAGATCAACGCCCTGTTACTTTCCCTCCTGCCGCAAGTATCGATCCCATTCCCAAACTACCCAATCCTGAGACAATAATTACACCTTTAGCCTCCGTAGAAGATGAAGAAATCGTAAAGTCTGTCACAGAAGGAACACTACCTTCCTATTCGCTTGAAACAAAGCTCGGTGATTGTAAACGAGCGGTTGTGATTCGACGGGAGGCGTTACAGAGGACGACAGGGAGATCCTTAGAGGGTTTACCTATTGAAGGATTTGATTATGACTCGATTTTAGGACAGTGCTGCGAAATGCCGGTGGGATACGTACAGATCCCGGTGGGGATTGCCGGCCCTTTGTCGCTAAACGGGATGGAGTATATGGTCCCAATGGCGACGACGGAGGGTTGTTTGGTGGCGAGTACGAACAGAGGGTGTAAGGCGATTTACGCTTCAGGTGGGGCTAGCAGTGTATTGTACGCGGATGGAATGACTAGAGCTCCTGTTGTTAGATTCGAGACGGCGAAACGAGCCTCGGAATTGAAGTTGTTCTTGGAGGATCCTGATAATTTTGATACTCTGTCCATTGTTTTTAACAGGTCAGTTTTCATTGGATTCTCTTTTAAGTTGTCTGTGTTTTAGATATTTTTGACGTTGATGGATGTCTACCAGTATCTATGGTGGTTAGGATTTTCGGATATTCTATGTAGTTGCTTTGTTTATTTAACAAGAAGATAAAGGGAAACTTGAGTTATGTAGATTGTAATGGAAGGAAAAGAAAAGTTGAATTTCCATTTTTGACAACCACCTCCTTTTTAACGATGTTTGCAGGTCAAGTAGGTTTGGGAGGCTTCAAGGAATTCAATGCGCTATGGCTGGAAAGAATCTTTATATCAGATTTAAATGCAGTACTGGGGATGCAATGGGGATGAACATGGTCTCCAAAGGGGTTCAGAATGTGCTTGATTTCCTTCAGGCTGATTTCCCTGACATGGAAGTTATTGGCATCTCTGGTGATTTCCTCGTCTCTTCTTAACTACACACGTAAAGACTTCATTAGTCGGTGAAGTTGCCTTTTTCTAGCAGTTTATCTTCATATACTCTCTGGTGTTGACATTGGTCAGCTATTTTTGATATTTTTTGTTAAGAGTATAAGAGTATTGCTTGGTGACCTTTTGTTTTAGCTTTTGCTTTTACTGGACATATGTGAGTCATAATTTTGCTGTCCCAAAATTATTGTTCTGGATCCCAGTATTGTTGTTTTGAGTGCGAACATCTGTCTAGTTTGCAGTCATCTTTTGAAAAAGTTGGGATAGGATCTCCTTTTACCTCTTTTTTTCATTTCTGGGCCGAGTCATTATTTTCTTTTACCCTCTTCATTTAAGGTTTAAGTGGCTTTTTGGTGTCCATACAAGTTCATGGAGTTTATATGTTTCACAATTGGCTAGGTAATTATTGTTCGGACAAGAAACCTGCGGCTGTAAACTGGATTGGTGGACGTGGAAAATCTGTTGTTTGCGAGGCAATTATCAAGGAAGAGATAATAAAGAAGGTGTTGAAAACAAGTGTAGCTTCCCTTGTGGAGCTCAACATGCTCAAGAATCTTGCTGGTTCTGCTATTGCTGGTGCTCTTGGTGGATTTAATGCCCATGCCAGCAATATTGTCTCTGCTATCTTCATAGCCACTGGCCAGGATCCTGCACAGAATGTTGAGAGTTCTAACTGCATTACCATGATGGAAGCTGTCAATGATGGAAAGGATCTTCACATCTCTGTGACTATGCCTAGCATTGAGGTACTTAAACTATTAGTCTTTAAACAAGTGGATTTCTTTATGTAATGATTTAAACTATTAGAATTGAGTTTATTGAATTATTCGAACAATTATGATCCTTCATTATTGGAGTCTTTTATTTGGTAATTGGTGCTTTAAGCTGACAGGATTTGTATTTCTATCAGGTGGGTACAGTTGGGGGTGGAACTCAACTTGCATCTCAGTCTGCTTGCCTGAACTTACTTGGTGTAAAGGGTGCGAGCAGAGAGTCAGCTGGCTCCAACTCAGTACTCTTGGCCAACATAGTCGCTGGTTCAGTTTTAGCTGGGGAGCTCTCTCTAATGGCTGCCATTGCACAAGGGCAACTTGTCAAGAGTCACATGAAATACAACAGATCCAGCAAGGATTTATCCACAGTTGCATCTTAGAGAGAAGGGAGTGGTCCAGCAATGAAATTGAAAGGGAAATAAAAGAGAAACAGCCTGAAAGATGGAAGATTGTGGATTGGGGGGGGGGGAATCCAATGCTGTCGGTACCCATGTGAGATTTGATTAGATCGCACAGTTGTAAAGCTGCTATTGTTTAAAGTGTGTTTGTTTTTGTTGGGGGATCGGTTTTATTTTCAAATTGATTTTTTTTAATGTTTTTGTAGGTGTTAATATTAAAAATTAATTTTTAAAAATAAAAAATATATTTTCGTAATAAATTTACAAGAAAAAATAACTTTGAGAATCAATATTTATTACAATTGCAATCACTACCGGAGGTGGGCGGGCGAGAGGGACGGGAAGATGGATGATCGTGCTCTGTGCTCTCTCTCACACGGTACAAGCATGGCAGGATCTTCTGATGACGAAGAGGCGAAAGCTACTCCCCACCCCAATATTTGGTATATGCTCTGTTGCAAATGCTTAAAAACCATTTCCTCTCTATTCTTTTCTTGGATGTTGAGGATGTATTGCGTTTGGAGTTGGGGACCAGAGAGACTTGTCTTTTTTGATGGCTTTCGTTATTGCCATTTTATTACCCGAGAGGGGGAGACCTTTGATAATATTAAACTCGAAAACCATTCTAGTTCCCGCGGGGCTTGTAGTTAAGTTCGAGAGTTGCATTTTGTGGACCTTTTGTCACGAATTATGGTTTGTACACGTAACGATTATACTAGAAGGGCATGTGATTTCCCTGTACTCATACACACACCTTACTATTCATTACATTAGGCGCTGCTTGATAATGTTTATGCGGATAGGATCATACATTTTAATATTTGGTAACCTAAGCAAAATCAGTTTTGCTTCATAGGATCCACATCATTTTTTGCTGCTCAGTTGTTGGATTGTAGGATTGGAGAAGCAGCATTTTACTGCTTCTCATGGGTATCATGTTTGAGAGCGTGGTGGTTGTTTTTAAAATGCTTTTCATTTAGAAAAGTATGCCAATAATATTTTTTTATTTTTTAAAAATTATATTTGAAATCAACACATGAAAATGATTTGAAAACATCAAAAATATATTAATTTAAAGCAAAAAAAAAATCATTTTTTTTCAAAAATACTTTTGAAACACAGTGTCAAACAGTATCATTAGACACAGTGAAGCCATGTTTTAATATCGCAATGTTCAGTTTTCTTTTAAAAAACCAGTGAGCAATATTTTTTTAAAAAAAAATTAGTTTAAGATAAATTAAATTTACTTGTACTGTAATCTTAATTTTATTCTTGATAATATTTTATTTAATTTTATTACACGCTCAAAAAATCTTGAAAACTGTAGTTCTTGTTGAATGACTTTTGTACATAATAAAATTGTAAATTTCTTTTAAAAAATTGTGTTTTACTCGAAAAAATAATATTTAATATTATTTAATAACACTACATAAATTAGAAAGATATCGCATGATGACGTAACATTTGTGGAATTTGATCGCAATTCCAATAATAAAGATATTACAATCTTTATTATTTAATAACACTATATAAATTAAAAAATTCAGTTTTTGTTGTTGCGCGCTTAAAAAACCATGAAAAATATAGTCCTTATTAAATGAATTTCATATGTAATGATATTACATATAGTTTAATGGAATAATAAAAAATATTTGATATTAATATTATTTATTTCATGATGTAATAATAGTAGTTAAATCTATAATATTTAAATTGAAAATCATTAATATATATATATACTAATTATTTTATAACCTCGATTTGAAAGGTATTTTTTTGACCAAACACATTAAACTACTTCTTGTTTAACCTCAATTTCAACCATGGTTTTAACCAAACATATATTTTTTCAAACCAACTTCAACTAAAAGTACTTTTTATAAAAATAACTTTTTTAAATAACTTTTTTAAAACCACAACCACAACAGTAACCGCAATACTAAACACACCCATAATGAATAGTGGAGTGACGTCCATGCTCTTGGCTAAAATATTGATTGACTTTCAACCGAGAGTGTTTTGGAATCTTTTCGATCATTATTTTATTTTTATTTTTATTTTTATTTTTTCATTCATTATTGATTTGTTTCATGATGTTTATATATATATATATATTCATCATTTTAATGAACATTAAAATAATCAAAATACTTTTAAATGTAAAAAATTTCAATTGTTTCGGGTGTGTAGGTGTATTTAGATATTTTTATTTTTTAATACATAGTATAATTATGCATTTACCCTTAGATCAAAAGATCTAATTCATAGCAATTAAAGGTATTAGGATCTTTTATTTTTTTAATTGTTGGTTTGATTAAGAATAATTCTGTAATTTAATATTAAAATAATAATTTTTAATTAACATATTCACATTACATGCAAGCACATGGGAGCCAATGTCCTAGGTGGCATGTGCGGCAGCTCCTAGTGGTAAACAATAATGATGATATTGATTTTAATAGTAATAAAAATAAAAATAATGATAATAACAATATTAATAATAGTAGTAATAAAAATAAAAATAATGATAATAATAATAGTAATCATAATTTTTATCTTTATTTTTTTCATTTGTTATTTTTTTCAATCATTTTGTATGATTGAAGTTTTTTTTTTCAATTCCATTATCTGATATTTAATTTATTAGAAATTAAATTTCATAGTTTTTTTTTTATATTGAGCGCTTCAAGTCTAATGACTCTTATTATTGGTTTAAAAAGTTCACACATTCTTTTTTTAAAAAAAAACAAAAGGCTTTATGATCTTCTATGTGTTCTTATCAGGTTGTTCGAGTCCATAATCTGGGCCACAGGTTTGATAATATATTCTATGTTGGCTTAGTCTTTATTAGCATTGTTATATATTTATCATGAACAATTTTATTTTTTTAAATTCATTTTAATACTTGAATATTATTTTTTATATAAAATGGCGCTGACACCGAGTTTAATATGTCTCTTTCTTTGAAATACCTTTTAAATTATTATTTATTCTGAAAAGTATAAGTTAATAATTTGTTTTTATGTTATTTTAATGGCTTTAATGATTGATGATTAATGTAATTAAATCACTACCAGAAATTAGCTTAATACCAACAGAATTACCGGTCGATAGCTACCAGTGGACAAATTCAGTCGATAGCTACCGACGGAATTACAAATGAAATGTTAAGAATATAAAAAAAGAACGGTACACTGATGTAGAGGTTATTGCGGGTATTTTTTATTGACAGAATCACTAAGTGATTCAAAATGTTAGCTCCGTATGGTGATGTGACTGAATCACGGAAGAAAATGTTGATGGAATCACTGAGAGATTCAAAACAACAGTTGGGTACGGTGACGCGCTTTGTTTACTGTCAGACTAGTTTACGAAATCATATTTGACAATAGATATATTCACTGTTGAATTTACAGATAGATATATTCGGTCTATATTCCATACTCACCGACAACTTTGCCGACAAACTTAATCCATTAATATTTTATAGTACCTGCCATAATGACTGATGAATGTACAGAAGGATATTTTTGATCGATATTTCAAACATTCATCGACAAGAAAAATTCGTCGGTATGTTTCAAGTGGGAAATTTTTCTTTTTACGCGCATTTTTTTTTTTATAAAACCATTGACAAATATTTTTTTATGTTGCCATTATATCTTGGTGACCGATATAGCGACGGATAGTGGTATTATCGATGAAAGAACAGTCCAAGAAAGTATTTCATTGGTGAGGATGTCAATAAATAAATTACTAGCGAACTTTTAATTACATGCAGATAAAATATTTTTTTTGGTAAAACTATAAAATCTTGCAGTGAATCTTGTTCAAGGTTGATGTCAAGTCGCCTTCAAATTGTCATTTTGAAGGACATCTTTTTACGTTTTTCTTTGTTTGATTGGTGTCCAATTTCAATGGAATTATAATAACCATATATTGTTGTCTATGAATTGCGTTGAATTAAGATGCTTTCATTTCTTGCTCTAGAACATAGTCTTTTTTTCCATTTTTTTTTGCTTTGTTTTTTTTAGGGGGGGGTGGAGGGGCTTGGACAGAAATCCTAAAACTTCCTTGGAACAACGAGAACAAACTATATCTCCATGGGACAACAACACTGTCCTATGGTGACAAAAATAAGCACACGCACAGGCAATTGTTGTTAATGCTGAGAGATATTTTGTGGTTGCTTAATGGACTTGCTTTTCAGTCCATGAACAAAGTGCTCATCGAGTAATGTGGCTGCGGGTGAGGTTCACCTGCAGCCACGTTAATAAATGCTTGGTAATCAAAATAAAAGTGCTTTCAATGGTAGGACCCACATGGAACTGTTTGTTTCGGAGAAGCAACATTGTTTGGTAATCATGTTAATAAATGTTTGCTGCTTCTCGTTTGCGTAATCAACAGTGAAGCATGACTTAATTATTGCACTATTTACTAAAATGAACAATTTTTTTTTTAATTTTAAAAAACCAGTGTAATTAATTGATTTTACTCGCACAATTCACGTCAATATAAACAATATTTTTTTTGTTTGTTAAAAAAAGTAGTTTAAGATGAATTAAATTTAATTATACTGTAATCTTAATTTTATTCCTTATAATATTTTACCAAATTTTATTACACACTTAAAAAATCATAAAAACTGTAGTTCTTGTCGAATAAATTTTATACGTAATGAAATTATAATTTTTTTTAAAAAAAATTGAGTTTTACTTGAAAAACTAATATTTAATATTATTTAATACATAAATTAGAGGGATATCATATGATGACGTAACATTTATGAAATTTGATCACAATTTCAATTATGTTCTTGTCGGGTTCGATCTAGTTAAAAATTTTTTAATTTTAATTGTATTTTTTTAAAATTAGAAAGTTATCGCTTGATGACGTAATAAAAAATTTAGTTTTTGTTGTTGCGTGCTTAAGAAACCATGAAAAATATAGTCATTGTTGGATAGATTTTGTATGTAATAACATTGCATATAGTTTAATGAAATAATAAAAAAATATTTGATATCAATATTATTTATTTTATGATGTAATAATAGTAGTTAAATTTACAATATTTAAATTAATTTTTTTTTAATTATTTTATAACTTCAATTTGAAAAATATTTTTTTTGTCAAATACATTAAATTATTTTTTATTGAACCTCAATTTCAACCATAATTTTAACCAAATATATATTTTTCTAAATCAATCTTAATTAAAAATATTTTTTATAAAATATTTTTTTTAAAATAATAACTATAATTACAATCATAACAATAACCGCAATATCAGATTATGATTGTGGGATCAAGTTGAGCGCCAGGAAGAAAGTCATCCAATCACATAGATTTCATTGAGGATAAGGAATTTGAAATTTGCAGGAAAAATAAGTTAACACCCTCTTCTCTATCTTTTCATATTTCAGGGGGACGATTCAACTTGAATATTGCCGCCTTCACGGCGAGAACGAACACGCCATTCGATACACAGCCACAAACAATTTAAATGTGGATTTCCTTACATTAATTTTTTTTATCTTTTTCCTTACAATAAAGAGTATTGGGATTTTAAAGATTGCATTCAAAGAAATATACCGATTCATCTGGATGTGATACCTAATTTTTAAACTATATATATATAAAAAATTATATTATCTTGATTAAGATACTACCCTCTCAGTGATTGGATCGCCTTTCTTGTATCTAAAAGGATAATCATTTAAAGTATAAAATGAAGGAAGGATAGCTTAAAGACCTTGAAAAATTGATTCTTTTTTAATTTAATGTTCTTTTAATATTTATAAAATAAAAAAGTATTAAATTTAAAGAAAAAGAAACAAACAAAAAAAATTATAAAACTTGTTATTTTGAAAATAAAATTTGATAGAAAAAAATAAAAATAAAATATAAATGTTAAAATAATAATACAAACTCCGCCGGTCAAAACTCTAATTAAATTTTAAAAAATAATATTAAAAAATTAAAACAATATTATATTATGTATCATATTAATTGATTAAATTAATATGTACAACTCTCAACATAGGTTTTGGATAAGATTATGACTAGGCCAGGACTCATTACCATGGATATCACCAGGATGATGATTCTTACGAGGTAATTGCTCCCTTTGTATATTTATTTTAATCTCGAACTTTATATATATATATATATATAGAAAACATCTATGAGAATAAACAATATCTTTAACTGTTTGTTTATTACAATTTTGAGCCAACCAACCGTTTTATTTAACTATATATCCAAGTAAGATTGAAAAATATTCATCTATGTAGCTTCTAAAAAATGAAATTTTACCTTAAGCTTTAATTGGTTGAAAACTATCTTAAACTCTGACTGTATGCGAGGTCATCAAAGCACAATGATTATTTTGAAAGCACCTTGAAATTGAAATTTATGAAAAAGAAATTCTTACCAAATAATTTGTTTTTTTTTAATTCAAAAAAAGAGAGAAAGTAAAAAGTGGCCCTCCGTCGCTCGGATGACGACCTCGCTGCAAAGAATCTGGCCGGCGGTGAAAGTCATTCGTGTTTACTTTACCGCAACTATCCGTGGGCGGGTATTGGGCGGTACTTGATTAGATTAGATCAGCTCAGCATTTCTATAAATCCTAAAACAGTTGAATTAGAAAGCAGTAAGAAACAAAAACCCTAAATTGAAAGGAAAATAAATGTCGAGCGGGTGGAGAAGAGCAGTGGGGAATGTAAGGTCGTTTATAGGGAATTCATTGGGAGGGCTGAGAGGAGGAAGTAATGTAGCGTCGTGGATCGTTGCAGGAACTTTAGCTTACTATCTATGGATTAAGCCATCACAAGATCTTAAGCGACAACAAGAGGTTTGCTTCGCTACCTCTTTTCATCTCACAAAATTCAATACTACTAATATTACTCGATTGATTTCACTTTTACTATTGGATTGACTTGACTCGGCAGGAAAGGGCAGCACTTGCCAGTTCTGATCCTTATCGTTACATTGAGAAGCGGAAACCAATTCCTGATCCACAGGTCTTTCTTGTAATCTTTTATTTTTATTTTTATTTACTATGATTGAATCATGGATTGGAATTGGGTGAATTGCGTGCAGGAAACTGGATTGATATACGGAAAGAAGAATAGAACAAACAAATCAGAGGAATAATTTGCTATAAAAATCGCATGCTTATATTGCTTGTAAGTTAGATTTTGTTTAGTTACTGTTTTATTAATAGTAAATCTTATTTTTTTTCCCCTGCAAGTTGCAATAAGAAATGGAAACTTAAGTTTGTTTGTTGAGAACCTAAATAATTATTATGTCTATTATGTTAGCATTGTGAAATTTCCAATTAAATTGTAATATACTCGAATTTCTTTCTCCCCCATATAGGTTATTTTTTCAGACTGTAAATGATTTGGATAAGATGTTATGTGATTCATCCGGTTTCATTGAAGGATTGCATCATGTAGTGTGATGTCAAGACAAGAAGCACTGAAACTTGAATGGGTTTAGTTTAGTTTGTTTTAGTTTGACAGTTTGTCCTGCTACTGAAATAAAGTTGGGAGAGAAATATTTAATGCTGGAAATTAGTTATAAATGATGGGGTTGATTTGACCTTTGTCTAGCATTGGTCAAGTTACTCTAGAAGATTGTGCTTGGATGAGCTTTAGGTCCAATGTTCCTGTAGTTATATAACGTAGAGCTATCTCTTGAATCCAAATCGAGGCTATGAACTATTTTGATCCCCATGACATCTTTATCTACCGTGCTTAATGAGACATGCGTCTTGTTGGAGGCTACGAACTTCCCATATGCTGTGCATTCCATGTGGACATGACTTCTAAGATTTTGTGCGCTAACAAATTCCTTTTATGTTGCCATTTTTAACCAGAAATGTGGTTCTAGCTACTGCTTGTAGCGTAAGTGGTGACCCATTCTTGGCTGCCTTTGTAGTAATCTGCTTGAAAGTGCTTTTCGTTCTAAAAAGCATTAGTTTTTTAAGAGTTTTTTTTATGGTTTTGACATCCTTTTATCTGAACCATCAAAAAGCTCAAAAAAAAAAAAAAAAGCTTCGATGGTTACTTTTTCAACCCAAATATATTTTGAGAAGCACCAGAACCCGCAATACCACACAATGTTTAAATAATTGTCTCGTGATCTAAGCTGATGAGCATGCATTAGCCTTTAAGCTTCAGGTTGACTTGAGATTTTGGTTGATTTTTAGTAGACATGAGAGTTAGGATAGCTTCACGGTCTAGTGGCAAGGTTGCTGAAAACTAGAGAAGGTTATTGAGGATGTTGCCGCAAGTATGGTTTATGCTTGGAGGAGGAAAAAAAATGAAGTCAAAATGGTGTTGATGTGCCATAAAGAGGGCCATAAGGAGGAAGCTTGTGCATCGTTGTGGTTTGGAACTGTACATTCAGAGGCCATATAAAATGGATGAAAACCATGTCATGCAGTGAATTTCTAGCAGGCAGTTTTTCCTTCACTACGATTGAAGGACAGGTTAGAATGTAGAGCAGAGGGAGATGGAGATGGAGAAGTATGCTGTCAAATTGGTGTTACATGCAACACTAGTCTATAATGAATGTATCTCTAGTCGCATCTCTATTCATCTATTGTAGGTATATGCTTTATTTTCCCTAACTGAAATGTGCAACTGTTTACCTAACCCAATCCTCTGAGGTGCTGTGGAAGTCACTTTTCTTTTCAATAATCTTTTGAAGACAGCGCAAGCTAGCCTTCAACTAGGAACAAGCACAAATGAAACAATCATCTCCTATGTTTTGAAATTTCGGTTGTGCAGGTTACGAGTATATCGGCTCGTTAACCTGTTGTCGGTCTTTAAGGTTATGGGCCAGGCACGACTCCATATAGAGCTTGTGCAAATGGTGGTGTCAGTCTTGATATTGGTAGTGTCATGTATGAAATGTTTAAACTCGGACACTGCCATTCTTGTTTTCTTTCAGAACCTCAATCAGATGTTTTTTTAAGCTGATGTTGCTCCTGTAAAATCTAAAACAAGCAGGTTTGGTCTACTCCATGACAAATAAACGGTCTTGTGAATAGGTAAAAGCGAGCTCCAAAAAACAGAAACAAGTAAAAACCGAAAGGTCTGGACCGGAGATGGGTAACATTGGGCCAATGGCTGGAAGAAAAAAAAAGAAAAAAGAAGAGGGAGAAAGGTTTACAGAGAGAAACAGAGGGTCGATCCATGGTAGTAGATGGTTTGATTACGTTCAACTTGCTAGGGGGTTTCATATCCTGAGCTGCTGCTTATGACAGATTGGATCGAATACAAGACTGACTCTTTAATGCCCTCTGAGCTCTCATTTATTATTTTCATCCTCTTATCCGAGCCAAACCTCAAACCTTATTTCAATCGTGGACAACTTCATACAATTGAGATGATACGGTATATTAGCACTTCATTCCATGCTGAGCATGGTTACTTTTACATGGTAATTCTGTAAGAACTGGAATTCCATACAAGCCACATGCACCCACCCAACTCTAGGGGGTGTGAAACCTGTCCTATTGCCGTGGGCTTTGCTAGCTGAGCTCACAGATAGGTTCAGGAAGGGGACCGCGACAAGATGTGCCACCTTCACAGACATCACACCTACAAACGGTGTGCTGTCATCTAAATCAATGCCTTGTGAATATTAACCGCCCTGGGATATAATGTGTCGTGTTAAATTGAGGTGACGAGACTTTTCAACGTAAAACAGAGAGGGGATTCCCATTTGTCCTATTTTGTCTCTTCTGTTACGATACAATAACTAAAAGTTGCTCTGAAAGATAGGCATGTATGCAAACTACGTGCTCTGCCGGCCTGGTTTTCACTTTGAACCTGAATCGAATGCTTTGTTCCAGCTTTTTTTGCACTTTTTTGCTCGAAACTAGCAAACTAAATAGTACACGCTTCTCACCGCTCGAAACCAAGGGAAATTCTAACTCCAATGGGTTTTGAAAGCAAAAGAGCCCAAAGGTTGTGGACCCAAAAGTAGCATCGACCGGGTCGTCGTATCTGGAGCTGGGATCAAGTTCAAGGCACAGGTGAGGAGACCCCTAGATGTCCAAGAGGACAGGGTCACGTGATGATCAGCTTGATGGTAGACAATTGCGCCAGTCATTGCTAAATCAGCCAGGTGGAGCTCGGTCACGTGAACCCTGTCCTCGTCAGCATGTCTACGTGTCACTTGCGGGCAACTTGAAGGCCCCGCTTTCAAAGAATTCTGTCACTACGCAACAACAAAGATTTGGACATTTACTTGCTCACTTGACTTTGTAATGGTCTATCGATCGAATACTCGAACTTTGAAGCGGTACGTCTCCCCTGCTTGGTCTCCTAATCTCATGATACCGACTGCTATTGTAATCACTAGACAAACCCTACTACTGGATAACAGCTACTGGGTTCGTAACATGCGTTGGAGAATCTGTACTTGGCATGAAAAACTTGGCTCCTAGCAGAGCTCCTCATTGAACCAACGATGGCAGGGTTTCCCGAGGGTGAACCAATGACGAGTTAGTCACTGGGGAGTAAAACTTTGGGGCCCCTGCCATCAGAAATGAAGGGATTTTGTCCGGGGGATTGGATCGAAAATGATCCCAAATAGGAATTAGAGGGCTAGATGGGGTCGGTGTGCACCCCTACACACTACTATGATTTAAAAATTATAAAGCCATCAGCAACTTGCACATGCTTTTTAATACTATATGATTAAATTATTTGATAGTGCTGTTAGGCTTTTGTCAAGCTTAATCCCCCTTTAATTATTTTCACCTATCGGTTTCATTATTTTGGTTTTATTGCTTGGAATGTAGTTACAGTTAATTTTTAAAATATTTTTTATTTAAAAATATATTTAAAAAAAAATTTTAAAAAAATTATTTTTGATATCAACGTATAAAATTAATTTAAAATAAAAAAAAATTAATTTATTTAAAAATATTTTTAAAACATAAAATCAAGCATGATAACTTTAAGTCCGGGACACTTCACTTGTTGACAATTGACATGATATAAACTACCATGTTAGTATTTTGTTTCATTTTGAACTTTTGCACTGAATTTTAGTGGCAAGCAAGCATCTTAGTGAAACCATAAATGACAAGGAAAAGAGAAAACTAGTTGATCATATTATTACCATGTTTTTTAAGGTTGCATTATGATCATAGCCATGATCTCATGTTGGAACACTGCATCATTGTGACAAATTATCAGCATAATATATCCTTCCAAAGTTGCTCTCAAGTATTCAAAGTTGTACTCATATCCTCCTAGCTTGGCCTCACAAATAGCAGTTTTCTTATCTATATTTGGTTAGAGTCACGACGGGAAAAACTAAAACTTGATTGATTGAAAGGATAGAAAGAAGAGATATAAAGAGATAAATTTAATTGTAAAAGACGAGCCTTTTCCATCCTCGTCTCTTCCTTCTTTCTATTTCAAGACAATAATTAAACACCATTTAAAAAAAAAAAAAAAGAGTATACCATAGCAAGCCCGATGTGGTCTCAACTTGAAAGAGGAAAAAAAATCATGGTACGAGGGCTTCGATTTGTTGAGCCACTAATCACCAAACCTATTAATGAAGGAAGCAGGCTATTAATGTAGTATTTTAAAATAAGATGCTTATTTAAAGATAGTCGAGTGATTCCCACGTCAAGGGATTCGCACACATTATTTTTAATCCATCTGTTCGGAATTCAAATGTCTGTTTTTTTATTTACAGATTATGTATTTTTATGATTGAGATGGAAATTAGTTTAATGCACTGAACTTGATTGGCTATGAACTGCATCGATAACTATACATATGTGCGTGTGTGTTTAGAAATATATTTTGATGAATTAATAAAATAAAGTAGTCAACCTCACATGCATGCGGCCATCAATGGAAGGGAGTTTAGTGGTTTTTTTTAAGGTTCAGTACAATACTTGTCATCTGTCTCTTGGATTTGCTGTTTGAATGGCAAAGTATACATTAAAAGAAATAAATTAATTAACTCGTGCTATCCATGGAATGCATGCTATATGGTTAAAATATAGCTTCAATATTACATAATTAAAAAGAATTTTATTTTATATTAGAAAGATAAGAGGTTTTGCTGTATTTTATAATGTGAAAAACACTAAATAAATAGATTTTGATATTAAAGAAAAGATTTGATAAAAAAACGAAAAGGCAAAATGGTTAAAAAATATATTATTAAATATTAAGTTGTGGTCACAAACGATGTTATATATCTCCTTGCAGTACTATGATAGTCAAGCAACTATCACTAAAACCATTTAATTAATTTATAATGAAAAATCTAGACATATCAGCTTGAGACATAAATATATAAAACAATTAATTTATGACATGATAGTTATTATTATGCATGTCAAATAT